AAAGTATTAATTTCAGAACTGCAGCTGGTGGTGTTTCATATCAGCTCTCAGCATCCCTGGGTGTAAACTCCTGGTTTGAGATTCAGACTTTGCAAACTAGCCTCATTAGCTGTGAAGGAGCTGCGATTAATTAAAATAATTTAATGTTATCGCACCCGCTTTGGTCAGCCAGATTTAAACCGGGGGAGTGCTCTACCGTCTGCTGCTCGTTCTGTTAAGCATTACCAGTACAGTGGATGTGGGCTAATTAGGAGAAGAGGTGGAATATTTTAATAGCAATTAACAGGCTACGGATTTATTTAAGCTCTAATTGAAGGGTTCTGTGTTGAAGCGAGGAAACCGATACAGAGCCTGAATAGTGAATCAGACTGTGGGGAAACGGGTGCAGCATACTGACGATTTAGTAATTAGCTGGAATCAAGCTGGCCACCTGTTTACTGACTGGTTAGCCCCAGGAATATTGACTCTATGAATGCTGTATAACTATTCAGTGATTATTTTGCATTCAGCATGCTAAAGGAAATGTTGTATTTACATTTGTTTTGGGGGTAAAAGGACAGACATGTGGGCAGGAATTATTCCTTGGAAGTATTCTCATGTCCTAGATTTGCAAGTCTCAAGTGAGCATAGATTCCTAAGATTTGTGTACGTGCAGCTAGACTTTTTATTTAATGTTGTTATGCTTGTCATTGGTTCTGTTTCCATTAACTGGTAAATACTCATCAGAGTCCATTTTAAAAGCTTCCACGATATATGTATCCCATCCTACATATATGCTTGTGTTGTGTGTGTTAAGCTGCTGTTGCACTGCAATTTCCCTCACGGGATCAATAAAGTATCTATCTATCTATTTCTTTTTTTAAAATAGCATTAGAAATACTTTTTATTGACATTCTTCAGTTTATTAATCATCTCAGCCAACCAGTACGGCTCTTACTCCAGCACAGTGGAAACATAGACGTCATGGGTGAGTCTTGTGAATCAGGTGCTGTCATTCTCTACTTGTGTTCGTCAGTAGTGCAGACAGTCTTGAAGGGAGGACTGATGCAGAACACCACGGATTGAAGTGCAGGCCCAGCTCCAGCCAGCCCCGACAGCACTCAAACAGTGGTGCACTGCTGCTTGGGGAAATCCTGGTCACAGTTAGCTAATAGGCTAGCCCAGGTCTCGATTATATGGCTATATCTGTACTCCATTGGGAGCTTGGAGGAAACTGTCTACTCTGTCTAAAAGGTGCACATGGAAGCCAAGTTATTTGCCAAGCAGAATCCATTATCTAGAATTGTAAAAATATAGGAAATTTGATTAATAAAAAATAAAATAAAGCCATAACAGGAAGTGCAATGCAGAAACTGCACTGGGCTATTGAAATAGTAATATTTAATGCGGTGTAGAGAAAGACTACAATGAAGGCAGCCTAGTGTGTGCTCTATTTCTAGTGAACAGCAGCAGTAAAAAATTTAGTTTTTGTTTTTATTTGTCGTTATCTACTTTTCCAGTCACTGGTGGGCTTGCACCCATATTTTTGTGTAACTCTTTGCTTCAACAAACTGTCATCTTCTGCATATGTTAGTGGGGTCAGCAGGGGACGCTCACCCTTCGGTCCATGTGGGTCCTAATGCCCCATCACTATACTGCAAACAGGCACCGTCCTGACTCTCTGTGGTCATTAAAAATCCCAAGGCGTTTCTCTAAAAGAGTAGGGGTTTTACCCCGGCGTCCTGGGCAAATTTCCCATTGGCCCTCACCAATCATGGCCTCCTAATAATCCCCATCTATGAATTGGCTTCATTACTCTGCTCTCCTCCCCACTAATAGCTGAGGTGTGGTGAGCGTTCTGGCGCACTATGGCTTCCGTCGCATCATCCAGGTGGATGCTGCACATTGGTGGTGGTGGAGGGGAGTCCCCATTACCTCTAAAGCGCTTTGAGTGGACTGTCCAGAAAAGCACTATATAAGTGTAAGCAATTATTATGAATTATTATATGTATATTCTGAGACAAAAACATCTTCCCATGAGAAAGCCCAGACAGTTTTGTAGCATTTCAGCCACTTTGCTTTAACTGCATAATATCAGCAACATCAAAAGCAAAAAAAACAATCCACAAAAATATGGAAATTGGAAGCCACTGATGATTTTAAAACACTTTTGGAGCCTCTAGGCAAGACTTCACTGCTTCAGGCCAGGAGTCAGAGAACCGTTTGATTTCGGATGGTGGCGATTGAAATTCCACTGGCCTGCGTGGCTCTGATTCTGTTAAGTATGTTATTTGTCTCTGTCAGAACCCTGTACTGCAGTATAGATCTATACCTGTTACAATGACATTGCTTTCCTGCCTCCACTAAATTACAAGTTGATTAAATGATGACACAGGCATGTTAAAAAAAAATCCTGACACTTCCTTTTTTTCTTAGCTTGTCTCCTCCGTGTTTTATTACTTAGATCATCTCGGTAAGTGGGGGTTTAGGGTTATTTGTGAAGCAAAATGGTGGCACACTATGTCCATACTGCAAAACAAATGGTTTGTACCATACTTAATGATCTGGTACTATGGGTAAATCCACTCAATACAATGCACTCTAGAGCTGGGGTGCCCAACCTTTTTTTAATGCAAGATCTACGTTTTCATTTGCCAGCCCTGCGCGATCTACCAGGATGAATTTGAAGCTCTGATATAGGAAAAACAGACTGTGATCAGTAAAATAATGATACCCATCACTAATATGACAGCATATCAAAGCAAGTGACTCATGCTACAGTGAACAAGTAATGTTCCCCATTTTAGAAAAAAAGAATATCCTATCTAAATGTGAGCATTGGCACTGAGAAACTTGCTTGAGAACACTTGTAATTTTTTTTTGAACGTTTTGACATTGCCGATCATGTCGGTGACATTTTTATTTTGTCCCCGCAGCTCGACATTCAGCTAATTCAGCAGTTCAGTCGAGTCTGTGAGGAATGCTAAATCCAGAAGCCACTGGTCATCCTCTAATTGGGCATATTCACCGTGTTTAGACGACTTGAGATTTCAGGCAACAGCTGTCTGAACCTCGCCAAAAATATCCGTTTTTGAAATCTCCAAACAGCAAGTCAGCAGCCTCATCACTTTCATTATTACTTCTCGATCCCTGAATTACTTTTTGTGTTTAGCCAAGACGTGGCTCACACAGAATGATGCGATGATTGCCGCTTTTCCTCTTGTAATAGGCCTCGTTAAAAAAAAAACGACTGCTGCTAATTGAGTTTTAAATTTTTCAACTTTTCTTTTACGTAACTCACTTTTAGGGGAAAAGTCCACATCATACGTTTTGTGTGCAGTTTTGAAATGTTCTATATTTCCCTTTTGCGTGTAGACGCTAGCATTGCAGGTTTGAATCCGAAAGTACAAAATAATATTCACGCTCCCATTCCTTGTGGTAATGGTAGGTTTTCGGTCCTTTGCTTTATCATTATCGCTCAAACACTACAGCTATCAAATAGACAATCAAACTTAACAAACTGTTGGCGAATTTGTCACAGCCACTCTGTTTCGCTCCACTATGCACTGTAGCAAATGTGGGGTTTGTGCGGCAATAACCAAAAGAACATTCTTGGGTAGCACACAACACTATTTACGGAGCTCCTGTAGCCTTTTTTCAGTGTCAGCCAGCACTCAGGGAAGAGACTTTTACAACCCGTTCGACAAGGGTTAAACACACACAAGGGCAGTAAAATGTATGACATTACATGCACAGATTTGAATGCATTTTTAGGCTATCGAAAAAAGTAAATAGTCAAGTAGCCCATTTATGGATCGATCGACTGGCAAGCACTCCTCGACTGGTTGGCTACCCTGCTCTAGAGTGTACTATTGATACAGGGATGCCAATGCATCTCCTTGTATATTTATATCAAGCACCACACATTGTGCACAGCACATTTTGGCCCTTTTTGTAATTATGAATAGATGATCTCCCTAAAATGTTTATTCATGATGATGGTAATATTAATGTCAGCATATTAATTTTTAATTACTATGGATTGAAATGTTTTCCACGTTTGGCCTCCATGCCAAAAATACTATTAATGCGTATTAAAGTGAGAGTCATCTACTTATTTTTTTATAAGGTAAGCTCCAGCTTATAAGAATCTATATCATGTTAATAAATATTGTAAACGTTATGAAAGTTAAGGACTGCAGCCTCTTTCTCTCTGAGGTGCTGCTGAGTTTGTATTAATGATATTGCTTCCAATAATTTTATTCAATAGAGGTTCTAAACTTTTTACATAACATGAAGAAGAGAATGCTTTCAAGAGAAGATTTTCAGCAAGTCATGTTTTAGAATGTGTTTATGAATAGTGATTATTATCGTATTGATTTTGTTATGTCTTATTAGTATAGTACTTCTAAATTAAGCTGGTTTTTCCAAACATGTTTTCATAAGTTAGCAGAAAAGACCAAGAAGTTGCAAAACCATGAACAGCCATAATTTAAGTGTAAGGAAAAAACAATCTGAAACCATCACTAGATTTAGTAAAGTGGGTAGTTTGTTTTATGTCTCCAAGGGCTGCATGTAGCTCTCAGGCCACAGGTTGTCCTCCATTACACTAGCTCAATCATACTCTACTAATCTATTATTAATGCTAACTGTTAGCTGATATCGTTATACTCCCTGTTGTTATAACTTTTCTCTTGTGTATTTAACTTAAAAAAGATTTAGTTTCATTTATATTGTTGCAGCAGTTCGTAAGCTTTTCAGCCCTTACATTGTGTTTTATATTTTTAAATTTAATTTAGTTAAAAGCAGTAACACCCTACTCTCTAGAGACTGCCTCTTTCACCAGTGTTGAATGAGCAGGTATTTCTCCAAAGTTGTTGTGTTTTGTTCATTGCAGTATCTTCTGCCTGACCTGACCGGTCAGCATTTAAGAGCTGTAAGAAGCAGATGTAAATGAACTGGCAGGCCAAGGGAGATTTGTCTAACATGTTCTATTCTGTTTTCTTTTCTTATCTTTCCAGTTGCAATACCATGCTGGTCTGGCATCTAGTCTTCTCAACCAGCAGTCCTTGAAGCGCTCTGCCAATCAGATGGGTGCCTCTGCCAAACGACGTCCGAAAGTTCAGCCTACCACCCTTGTCCTTCCTCCACAGTGAGTTTATACCAATCCATAACTCCAAACAGATCCGTACAGCGGGGTGTTCCAAAAGTTTGTAGAGGTGTGTTATCCATCCAGTTTCTAATTGCCTCATCTAATTCAGGGTCAGAGGCGGGAGTCAGCCTATTTCAGCAAGCAATGGACGCAAGCTGGGTTACACCTTGTATAGGATGCCTGTCCAGAGCAGAACATGCACAGACCAAAGCACGCACACACTCGCACCTAGGGCCAGTTTTCCCAGTAGCCAATTAAACTACCAACATGTCTTTGGACTGTGGGGAGAACCCCTACGCTAACACAAGGAGATCAAACAAACCACTGGGCCACCATGTGAAAATACATTTTTTTGATTGTTTCTGAACCTGATCTGGAAGAAATAAATAACAAATCCTACAGAAATTCAACATTGCAGTCTGCCATTTTTCAGGAAAAGTACAATTTGAATAGCATGCTAGTCTGTTTGTTAAATACATATGCTGAGGGGTCACAAAACAGAATCTTTGATCTTGGAAATAAAAACAAACCTCCTGTGCATTGCCTCAGCTAGCCAGGGAGCCACTTTGAAAATTGCCCTGCCAAGGGTAAAATGGGCTTTTAATGTAAGATGAAAGTCAGTCAGGCTTGGAGAAGGTCTTGAGAATGGTCCACAGCTGTCAGTGTAGTCGACTAACAGAGAAACGCTGTGTTCATGTAGCCACTGAATTTGTTTCCTTTCAGTCTGTGTTTTGTGGTTTATACAGGGTCTGAACCCTCTTCCATCAAGATATGAGATCCAACATAATGGAAGAATGTGCTTTGGTTGTCTCAAGCACAGTGTTAGACATCTGCGAGAAGCAATCCTCTTTAATTGGAATACATGTCAAGTGCCAAGTCTGTGTGCTGTTAATGTTCTGCTGCAGTGTATGAAAGGAAGTACTCTTTTATATTAAACTTTGATTTTTAAAAAGATTCGAGGTGCAGCCATCTCAGGAAGAAACCCATGTCTCTTTGGGGTTTCGAATGAAGAAAATTTAAATGAGCTGCCACATTAATGCAGCATCAAACCCGTTTGCCAAAATGATTGACGTGTGCATTCTGTGGCGAGAACCGGAAAAACTTCTTTTTCTTTTACCTGTCATGTTCATTGATCTTGCCTTTTGGGAGGTTTTTTTTTTTGTTCATTTTGTGTAACACGGAGATCATGCTGGTGAAGTACATTGCGATACCACCTTTCTACTTATTGACAGAAGCAGAAGTTGTCTCACTATGGCATTGGCAGCTGTTGCTTTTTTTTAAATACTTCCGCTGTAGCTCTGTTATTGAACCTCCGGACAGCCAGGCTGCTCAGTCACTGATGGATGGCTGGGCTAGTGTGTGTTTGAGGAAATGGAATAAATGATGGGCCAAATAACCGAGCACATTATGTTATGATTCCGTAGTTGTGTATTGCTCAGCACCTCTCTGTCTAGCATCCGCTCGGATCTGCGGTGCCTTGAGCTCTTTCTCCCCCCTGCTGTTTCTGTAACGAGAGGACAGTCCTTCTGTTCTATAAACCCGGCTTTTGCCAGAGTCTGAGTCCAAGCCATGCACAAGTGATTTTGTAGTTAATTAAAAGAATGGGAGGAAGAATTAGCAGTTAATGACTGCTAACACTTTGACATCAGTTTTTGAAAAGGAGCAAAAAAAACATTTAACCTAACGAATGAAAAAGGGATATTAATGTTATAAGTGAAGTAATTCTATTTGTTGAAAATCTGTAATGCAGACCAAGCTGTTTCATTTGAAAATAAAATAAGGATGCTGAGAAAGTAGCCTCATTGCCTTTTTGACATCTCTCTCACTATGTCTCATTAGCACTGGTATAATTTTGTTATTTCATTTTGAGTGGGATGCGACATGTGACTCACTTTTGGTCAAGTCCATTGTCTGAATGTGTCAGAGCAAGTATGATTTGTACGCATCTTGTTTTTTTAGATTACACAGGATGAATCCTGACCAGCTTCATTCACAACTTATAGCTCATTTTTTTTTATCACCTCCCATGATTTAACGTCACTATTAAATAATTATTGCTGACGTAAGAACTGCCCTTAAACAAGCAGTACATTAAAAGCAGGTGGATGAAAAAGCCCTCTAAACATTAACAGGTACGGGAATAGCTCCACAGCTGTATTGGATTGAGAAAAACATCATTGAATTGAAAAGAAAAGCAAGAAGCGGAAGATTGTATTGAGGAAATCATCATTGAATTAGAAAGAAAAGCAAGAAGACAAGTTTACATAACTTTAGAGTACATACCTCTGTCTTCAGTAAAAAATCTTTTTAACAAGAAATAAAGGATAGAAAATCTCAGTATGTTCAAAGTGCTTGACATCCGCATTTGTTTGCCAACATGACTCATGAAAAACCTCAAATATAAGAAAATGCACCCTTGGGTAAGCTCTGCCCTTGTTTAAACACCTCAGCTGGTTAATTTAAAATTAATGTCACATAGCTTTCATTCAAGGTAATATGGTGATGTATTTATCTGTGGGGGATTCCTTAATCCCTGGCACATATTCCAAACGTGTATCTGTTATATCCATACGTCTGTTACATTTTCTAAACCACTTTATCCAGTACAGGGAATTGGGAGAAGCCGGAGCCTATCCCAGCAAGCAATGGGCTCAAGACAGGATATACCCTGGACAGGACACAGACCATCATGGGGCCACAAAGCAGGGGCAATTTTTTATAGAAGTCAATTATCTCAGCATGTCTGAAACCCATACAAACACGGGGAGAACATACACACTCCACACAGAAAGCACTCCACGTAGATTGCAGGAGTTGAACTCGGGGGCCCCTGCGCTATGAGGAAGCAATGCTGTTCCTCCATGCTGCCTATGTGTAATATCTCTGGTAACACTTTATTTGAATGTTGCCACATAAGGATTTCATAATCCCGTCGTAAATGCTTCTTGTTATAACACATGCATAATGTTTTATAATTTAAGCTATAGATAATATTCTTTCTGTTCGCAAACTGTAGGTTGTGGAGGCCAGCCTGGTGTGAACTTTGCTGCATTTAGCAGTTTTACTATACAGTTATGCAGATTTTTTTCTCTCTTCATACAGAACACATTCAAAATGCCTTAACCACTCACAGGTGAAAAACATTTGAATGTCTCTAGCATAATAGGCTCCTTCGTTCCTATGTAGTTATTGGCATATAAGGAGAAAAGTCTGCTCTGAAGCAAACACTTTTGGAATCCCTCCTGGAAATGTTTATTAACAGCTATTCTAGATAGCACAGCTTCCTTGTGCTGTGTTTAATGTTAGTCTTGCACTGCTGGGCGATTTCTGTGATTGCCTGGTCTTGCACTTCCTGGTGACCATTCCAAATGCAAAGACGAAGAAGAGCTTAATGTGTTTCTGAAATTGCTGAAGAGCACTACAAGGTGAAGGCTAGCTGTCTCTTTCTCTGTGAAACATTGTTCTCCTGAAATCACAGTGCTAAATGGAGTAGCCAATGAATTATGCAAAACCTTTATGTGAGGTGGCTTTCATATTTTCCGATTTTTCACTAACTTTGTTTAACATTGTATGTGTTGGACAACTGTACTCTTACTGATGGTCAAATATTTGTCACAAATACTGTAATTTGTTGTCATAATAAAAATAATAGTGGCATTAAACCATTTGTAACCCTCCCTAATAGACTCAAATCATAATATTACTTATTTTATACAAATCAAAGCATGAAAATATTATGCGAGAACTATATAGCCTGTACACTAATGGGGGTGGTGGTGGAGTGACTTGGAAAAGTGCACGTTTTGGTCATGAGAAGAAAAGGCAAATTGCATTGATAAATCAAATGAGAGTCTCAATGGAAGTAAAAAAAAAAGTAAGAGCTCTCAATGGTTTTATACAAGTGGTTCTTACAAAAAAAAAATCCTCTTCAGAATGGAAAGAGCGTGTTACTTCAAAAGCTGTGTATAGAGGGACACAGTTATTTTACAAATTTCAATTCAGTTCAAACTGCCACTTGACTTTTTAAATCCAGCAAGAAAACTACCTCATGTTGGTTTAGAAGAGGCACTTGATGGGAAACCTCAGTTGTGCCAGCATGATTAGATTACTTTATATGTATAAATGGGTTATATATATATAAGGGTTTACAGGGATGGTAGAAGGATCAAAGATAAGAGTCAAAGAAATGTGACAACAAGTAGCAAAGAAGGGGATTTCAATGATTTCTGTAAATAACAGTGGTATTATTAAGGGGTGCAAGGCAGTAGGTGAGGAATTTTAAAGGATGTGATTATGAAAGCTTCAGATGAAAGTGTACAAAATGTATAGGGAATGAGGAGCAGACAGAGCCCTATTTGACTAATCCTACACGTGGCAGTTCAGTGGTCCCTCACTACTTGGCAAATTCTAGCTCTTAAAATGACCTATTCTCGCTCTCATAACATCTGGATCACAGCAGACAACCATTTACCAGCTGTGCTGCTTGCAAGCACCCTTGATGTGGATTTTACCTTCTTATTAGACCTTAAGTTTCTTTGTATATGCAGCTTTGTATCTGCTTTGAAGACTAACGTTTAAAGCCGTTTCAGTGCTAAAGGCTTTGCATATTTGTGTATTTGTTCCTGGCAGTTGAATAGAACACTTATTTTAATGAGGAGAGGAATATTCATGGTCCTGTGACCTTAGCTGCAGGTTTGTCAGGTATTCCTCTCAGAGCTGCGATGTCGTATCAGTAGGGACCGTCATTGCTGTGTATCCTACTACATCCCAGGCACCACAAAGGAAGTGCATGAACTTTGCACCATCTCTGCACTAAAACCATATTTTTAGACTCTTGCAGTATGATCTGCCCTGGTCAGCTCTTTGTGATTAATGTGTGTAGAAACATTATTGTGTTCCCATATTTTATTTGAGTCTGCATCTGCACCACTGTAGCACATTATCAACTGAATCTGTAAGTGTAAGTGTTCTATTATTCATAGTATTAATAATATTAATTG